GACATCTTCCCCGGCCGCCCCGTAAGGGGCTGGGAGGGGGGGGCAACTTCAGCCCCCTTTATTTTGGGGGGGTCTTTGCAGTGTTATCCCCCCCCCCCAAAAAAAAGCAGGAGCTGAAAATTCCCGGGGGTGGGGGTGGCTTTGAGATCCGAGTTCTACCTTGCTCGTCTGCACGGAGTTCCAAGGGCGACACGTGATGGCTTCACCACTCCGTCCCTTCCTCACGCCCATTCCTATCACGACTCCAGGCCATCATCATCCCCACCACAAGGTTGCAGGGTAGGTCGGTTTGAGAGAGAGAGAGAGAGAGTGGCTGCTGCTTTATGGCCCTGGGGGAGAGAGAGGAGCGAGGCTCTCCCAGGCGTGGATGCGAGGAACCGCCGATAAGGGACGCCTCTCCTCCTGACCCCCACCCAGCCAACCCATAACTGAGATGAAAAGTCTCAAGGGGGTGATCTGGCAACGTCCCAATAAGCTGATTTTTTTTAAAAATTTTTAATTCAACTGCTCAGGAGCAAAACCCATTGAATCACTCCCAAAGTGGTGGCATTGTGTAGGATGATGATTTTATTATAGCCCGATCATTTTTGAACTAAAGTCAGCAAAACAGTGTTGGCTTCAGTTGCTAGAGGTGGATGCATGTGGTTTGCCTGCACATTCAAACACAAGAGCAGCCGGGTGAGACCAAATAGCACTGCAATGCGAAAAGGACACTATCCTGGCTTCTCGTATTACAGTATCGGTGTTTTTTTTTTTGCCTTTGCCTCTTTGTACACAGATGTACGGTTACATGTACACGGACCCACAAACACACAGCCTACTCCCTCTCCACCTGTACAGGTGTACCTGCGCCATGCATGCAGGTGGACCCCAGCAGCGAACGTTCAGAATCCTTCATGTCTCTGAAAGCGGTGGACTCCAGCCCATGAAACGGATTTGTTTGATTTCAAATATATACCAAGCCGTGCTTTGTTTTTGCAGCAACAGGCTTCGCCCGGGTGCAGGCAGTTGTGCAAGCCTCGGTTTGGGGTTGTAAGGGTGACATTCGCGAAATCAAAGCTTGGCGTCACCGTGTGCTCTGTGCTAGAACTAAAGCTTGAAATCAACTGAGTTCTAAACTTTTCCTGTTAATAAGCATGAAATCATATTTTTGTTTTCTGTTTTTTGGGGGGTGGGGGGGCTGGATGCACATTTCCAGTGGGAGTCCAGGCTTTTGTTGGGTTCAGATCAAACTTTCAGATCCTAATTTTGTTGTCGGTTAATATAATCTCCAGTAGGTCTGGAGATTCAGTCAAAATAATCTTGAAGTAACAAATGGAGTGGGGGAGATATTTTATCAGTGCTTTATTGAAAATATGCATATAGCATTAAGATGTGCAAAGATCAGCCAGGTA